GCATCATAATCCCACGTTCAAAAAACTTCTGGTTTTTATTAGCAAAAAACTGAATCAGGTACGATTTGACATCATCATCATTATTGAAATTTTTACCATTCAAGGAGTTTTGTAAAGATCGAAACAAAAAGTAATCAGATGGTGCAAGGTCAGGACTATATGGTGGATGTGGCAAAACATCCCAACCAAGCTCCATTAATTTTTGCCGAGTGACCAAAGATGTGTGTGGCCTTGCATTGTCATGATGGAATACAACACCTTTTCGATTTGTCAATTTGGGCCGCTTTTCTTCAACTGCATTATTTAATTTCATTAGTTGTTCAATGTAGACATCAGAATTGATCGTTCGGTTGGGTGGTAAGAGTTCAAAGTAGACAATTCCTTTGTAATCCCACCAAACTGATAACAAAACCTTCTTTTGATGAATATCAGCTTTTGATGTTGTTTGAGTTGGTTCACCTGGCCTGCTCCACGATCTTTTCCGCTTGATATTGTTGTAAACAACCCATTTTTCATGGCCAGTTATCAGTCGTTTTAAAAATGGATCATTTTCATTACGTTTCTTTAGCAAATCGCAGCTGCTAATGCGTTGCGTTAACTGTGATTCTTTCAGTTCGTGAGGAACCCATGTATCGAGTTTTTGAACATAGCCAAGTTGTTTTAAGTGATTTTCAATGCATGTATGTGATACATGAAGCTTCTCTGCAATCTCACGTGCTGTACTGTGACAGTCCGAATTGATTATTGCTTTGATTAGGGCGTCATCAACTTCAACTGGACAACCAGAGCGTTTTTCATCTTTGAGTGAAAAATCACCAGAACGAAATTTGGCAAACCAATTTTGACACTGCCGTTCTTTTAAGGCTTCGTCACCATAAACAGCACATAACTTTTTATGAGCTTGTGATGCGTTTTTCCCTTTGTGGAAATAAAAAATCAAAATATGACGAAAATGTTCCTTTTGATTTTCCATTTTTCAACGAACGCCAAACGAAAACTACAAAACAGATCAAAAAACTTTTTTTACTGATTAACAGCTGAATAGCCAACTATCAAATAACAAAATGTGTTTTACATTTTTACTACGTCTGCAAACCTAAAAATTCAACTGAAGCCATATATATGTGAAACCCGCAATTACTTACTTGCCGACCCAATAGTAACTTATCCAAGGTTCCTTACCAAGTAGTGTGGTGGTCAAGGCCAAAACTTCACTCACAAAGTTAAGAGGGAGGCAATATATGATGAGTTAATATATGAACTGTAAATATTAGTTAAGATTACATTAATTGTTAAACTAGCTGCAGTTTAATTTCTATTTAAGAACTATTTTTAATTTGAATTTCTGCCTTCTCTCATGTCAGAATCCTACACTGCCAGGATCTGACATTTTTATGCTCTTATGGCACTGTTTCTGCACTGCATTATAATTGTGTTATCTCTCTTTACTGAATTGCAAGTTGCTGAAAATGGGGTTCTTATTTATCCTTGCATCTCTATTCCCCCCAATCTTAAAAGCAGACAATACTACACTTACCGTGGTCACTTCACAATATGTATACAAATATTGAATCATTGTTCTAAACCTGAAATTAATGTTGTCAATTATTCCTCAACAAAAAATATAAAAACAAACAAAAAGGTACTAAATAAAGGTTGGTTATATGAATAATCATTTTGCCTTTTTAAAAGTTTTTAATTGCTATGTAGGGCTGTTGTTTCTGAAATATTACTTAGGTTGTCTATATTCAGAGCACCTTTGAATCATTCCAATTACTGGTTTTGATGCAAATACTTCTAAAGCAAACATAATTCCCATGGATAAAACCTTTTATAAATTCCCTATCACCTACTGGTCAAAGGTTGTACCACACCTGGCTCTATCAAACCACCTGTACTTCCTCAAGGGTACAGAACATGCCATTATGTGTTCAACAGGTGAACTGTGACACCACCTCCTCCATCTCCATCAGGACAGAACTGAAATTCTTTTCTAAAGCCTTTCCATATTTGCAATTTTTACTTTCTGTTTTGCTCTCTTCTTTACTACACTATAAATTTCCTAAAACAAACACTCATCATATGTATCCTCAGGTCTGGCAAGAAGAGGCTTAGTGTTTAATAAATATTAAAAGTACCAGAGGCCTGGTGCATGGAATTCATGCACAGGGTGGAGAGTGGGGAGGCTCAGCCTGGACTGCACCCTCTTGCATTCTGGGACCCCTCAGGAAATCTCCAACTGCTTGTTTAGGCCTGATCGCTGCCAAAGACATTCTTCTAGCAACCCGGGACCACTGGCTCCTAACGGCTCATATGCCTCACCCCTAACCACCTCTGCCTTGGCCCCCCACCACCAAGGCTTTGCCTGGAAGGACATCAGAATGGCATAGGAAGATCAGATCTAATTAGCATATTATGCTTTTATTATTATAAGTTATTAATGCATAATTCAGTAAATCTGCTAGTGCTATCTAACCCACTATCAAAAGTAAAATTTTAGGTAGTTTTCCATTTTCAATAATGAATGGTGGACTTTTCTATTTTATCTCAGTCTATAGATTCATGAATTCAAGACAGTTTGTACCTTCATTAGCAGCTAGCCATGATCATCACCAAAGACACAAAACAGACCCACAGAGTATCAAAACCTCTCTGTGACCTGGTCTAACATATATATTCACTGGCAAATTATATGGGGGAAAAAGTCACTTAAAAAGCTTTGAAACCGTTCCAATTTAAGCATGTGAATTAAAATTACACACTTCTGGGCAGGTATCTTTCTTATATTTTTATCTCTAGATGCATACTACATAGAAGATACTCAAATGCCTCCTTTTATAAAAATTGTGTCATACCCAGCCCTAGCCAGTTTGGCTCAGTGGACAGAATGTCAGCCTGGAGACTGAAGGGTTCCAGGTTCGATTCTGGTTAAGGGCCCATACCCGGGTTGCAGGCTCGATCCCCAGTAGAGGGCATACAGAAGGCAGCTGATCAATGATTTTCTTTCATCATTGATGTATGTTTCTATTCCTCTCTTCCTCTCCCTTCCTCTCTGAAATCAATAAAAATATATTGAAACAACGCTCGCTCGCGCGCGCGCACACACACACCAAAACAAATCGTGCCATCCCAAGATAGCTATGTCAGGATTTTGGATAGGCCAAGAATATAATCTGATTTCCTGTTGGCCTTGAGGCCTTTGGCAAGTCAATTAACATTTTAGTTTTCTCATATAACACCTCAGTGTGTTTGGAACATAGTATTCTTTAGCAAGTCTTGTCATAAGGTACAATGTGTTATGAAGAGATCTTCACATTTCATCCTAGAATAACTAAGTCCTTGCAGTTATCTTCAAGCTGCTTCGCGCATGCTACTTAACCCTTGGGCTTCATTATCTTCGTTGTGCACACGGGGCCGGAGAAGAGGAAGGAAGGATATAAAGTGACTTGGCTGAAAAGACCCACCGAGCCAGTCACTTAAAAGAGCCTTCATTTTAACTACCGGTTCCCTCATCCTCTTTTCAAAGAACCACTTTGAGAAACTTGCACTGACAGCAGGCAGAACAGTGTCAAATTAAGTATTAGCTATACTTTGTTTAGCCTGAACCAATGATCTCAGCTTCCTAGACCTTGAAGTAGAGATAGTTCTAGGATTGGGTGGATAAAGTTTTGCTGACTGAATCCAAGTTCATAAGTCTAAATGTCAAGATAGCTTGACCTAAATTTTAACTGTAAGGGCATTTTTGTTTTCTCTCTCTCCAGGTCTCTCATTCTTTTCAAATTTTGCTCAGTATCCTTTTAAATGTGTGAAGTCATACCCTACCTTTCCAGGTCAGGGTCAAGGCTGCCAGAATTTTCTTCTACCCAAACAAGGAAGCAATCCCTCCCAAGGCACCACCCATCAACTCCCACCAAACTTCAGACCTAGACTCCAACCTGAATTGTTAGGGAAGCCCAGCATTTTCTAATTCGAGGAAACCCCCCACCCTTTTACTCTGCTGAGCCACCCTGGGAGGAGTGTCTCTTCGAATCCTCACCCCATGACAGAGTCCAGAAAAGAGAAATCGCAATTCCGCTCGGATTCAACAAGAGCTGTATCAGCGCCGCAGGTAACGATGATTTAGCAATCATAAATACGGGTCCTGGAATGAGGTAATAATCCATAAAGATTCCCAGTATCGCACGTACCGAGGAGGACATATTCTTTAGCACATTCCATTTCCTGGGCCCAAATGACTTGCATAACTGGGCGACCAGCACAGGCTTCAAAGGGGGGGGGGGGGGGGGCGGGGGGGAGGCAGGGAGCTCCTAATTCAGTTTACTCCACTTTTACTACAAAATTCTACACCGAAAAAAATATGCTCACACATGCCTGCCCCTTAGGATGGAAGCTCTTCCCCTAGACATCGAGCTGCCATCGGCGTTCTCTTCCTCTGCAGCGGCCACGGGGCCACCCAGAAACTCAATTCTAACCTCAACTCGCGGGGCTCGAGCTGGCAAACACCGAAGCCTCGCACCCCCCCCCCCCCCCTTTGCATCCCCGCAGCCTCTGCCGACACCGCAGCCCCAAATTGGCCATCTTCTCCCCCCGCCCCCCATGTCCCTGCGTCGCCCATCACTCCACGCCGGGCCCCACCCTCTCTCCATCCCGGAGAGGGGGCACGGCAGTCCGGCCGCCGCCTGCGGAGCGGCCCCCGGGCTGGCACCTACCTCCCGCCTCCTCCCCGGGGCGCGGCCGGGGGTGCGGGTCGCGGGTCAACGCCCGCCCGCGCCTCCAACGGCCCCAACCGCCGCGCTGGTCAGGGCGCAGGGAAGCGGGGCGCCGAGCCAGGGGTCGACGCTCACCTCCGCGCCACCCCCACCGCCCAGCCCCTCACCGCGAGCTCCGACCCCCGGCCCGTTTGCCCCAGACCTTGCTGGCGCCGTCGCCCTCCCCAGGCGGGCGCGTCACTATTCCCCGCCGCCGCCGCCGCCGCCGCCGCCGCCGGGCAGGGCTCTCACCGTCAAGTCCCCGACAGCCGCGGGGACACACCGCTCGCCCGGCGCCCCGGTCAGGACCGCGCAGCCCCGAGGGCCCGCAGAGCGCGCGGCACGCGGCGGCCCCGCCTCCGCCTCCGGCTCCCGCCTTCCCCGTCCCCGCCGGCCCCGCTCCGCCCCTCGCGGCCGCGTCCCCGCCTCGGCAGGTTCGCCAGGTTCCCACCCCGCCCCCGCGCCGCCGCGCCGCAGGCTCCGCCGCCTCCCATTGGCTGTGCCCGTTGCTAAGCGACCAACAAGCGCCGCCGGCATTGGTCCGGTGGGGGTCCGGTGGGGGCCCGGCCTCTCACCCGGAGGAAGGGAAAACCTCACCCGCGGAGCCGGGCGGGATGCGGGAGCAGCTGCGGCAGCGGCACCTGTTAGCCGCCCTGCGATTCACCCCGCCCGGCCCGCCCCCCTCCGCCCCTCCTCCCGCCCGCACGGCTTGGGCCCCCCGGGGGGAAGGGGGCTGTGGCTGCATCCGAGCACGTGTGTCGGGCCCCAGTGAACCCCAATATGCGCACGGGGAGCAAACGTGAAGCTCCCCGAAGAGCCACGTGCGCCGATGAAAGGGGAGAAATAAACCAAACAGCAGCCGGCACCCAGAATTAGGCCAGACCCAGGGGAGAGAGAGGATGCAAACAACCCAACCGGGAGAAACTGACATGTAAAATCAGGGCAAAGAAAAGGACCTAGGCGGGGGACAACGGGGAGACTTAACGAATGGCACTTGTGGTCTCGAAGTTCAGATAGAAATGGAAGTTCAGATAGAAATGCCTCACACCCGCCCAGCAAAATAGGTGAAAAGAAAAGGTATGCCTGCTGCCACCAGAGTCAGGCGGGCTCCTCCCCCGGCCCCTGTTCCATGTCAGCCTAATGCTCCAGGCGAGAGGAGAGGCCTGTGGAAGGAACCTCAGGCATATGAGTAGAGTTATAAACACAAAGATGTACTTTGATGGAGTGTATGTGTGTGTGTATATGCCAAGGGTTGTATTTTACTCAAGAGACCTAGATGGGTTTGGTATTTTAAGGAGCCTCCTGAGAGCATTTTGAAACTAAAATACCAAAATATGAGACAAGAAAAGGAAATATTAACAATGAAGAACAAGGGAGGGACGAGTGTCCCCCGCCTCCCAATTTACACGCACCTATGCCCAATCCTGGATGAAAGATCAAGGCGAGAAAGTGAGCACTCCTGGGTGACAACTTCAGCATCCAAGGACATCCTCCTGTTGGTCTTTGGCCTGAGCGAGCAGGAGGCCCGGCTGGATGCTATTGCGTTTAGCTGAAGGACAGCCCACTAACCCGTCATGGCCCCTCATAAGGGCCCGCTGTTAGTGCGGGCTGGTGTGGAAAAAGAAATCAATTATTAGGAATAATTACCTTACTCCCTACCCCAGAGGCCTGATGACCAGTGTATGTTGGGGAGGCGGGGGGGGGGGGGGGGGGGGGGGGGGGGGGGGGGGGAATACCTCTGCTCCAAAAAGGGGTTTTGCAATTTCAACTGTGAGCCCCAAACTCCCACATTCCTTCCCATCTTAAGAACCACCTCAAAGTGACAGGTTTTCTTTGAAATAACACTTAAGCCTTTAGTTTGACCATTTCACCTCCTCACAGTCAAAAGCGAGAGCTCCCTTCCGATTAGCTGCTAGAAGAGTTGATTTGAGATGGATGAATTAAACAAGCAGCACCCAGCACACCCGTTTGTGGCCTAACCACTTACAGAACCAGAGGTTAGGGTTTGGGCCAGGCTGCAGTCCTCTCCCAAACGGCCCCGCCCCCAGCTCCAAGGGAAAATCTGATCTGTCAGAATCAATCAAAGGTTTTCAACCTTTTGCTCTTGGGGCACATGTTTTATTCTTAAAAAAACAAAAACAAAAACAAAACAAAAAACCTGCAAAGGGCTTTTGTTTATGTGGGTTATATCTATTGATATTTACCATACTAGAAATTAAAACTGAGAAATTTAAAAGTATTTATTTACAAAATAATAAGCCCTGCTCCGGGTGCTCCTGGTCAGAGCGTCCTTCAGGTCGCAGGTTTGATTCCAATCATGCACATATAGAGGTTGTGGCTTTGATCCTTGGTTTGGGGCGCCTTACAGGAGGCAATTGACCCATGTTTCTCTTCTCTTCTCTTCTCTTCTCTTCTCTTCTCTTCTCTTCTCTTCTCTTCTCTTCCTTTCTCTTCTCTTCTCTTCTCTTTTCTTCTCTTCTCTTCTCTTCTCTCTCCCCTCCCCCCCCTAAAGAAAAAAAAAAAACAATAAACATATCCTCAGGTGAAGAATAAAATAATAAAATTACATTTTACATAAATAGCACAAGCTAATGGAAATAACTATATTTTCCAAAGAAGAGTGGGAAATTTTACTTTAAAATTTTTCCAGTATCTTTAATGTCTGGCTTCATGGAAGGTAATTGGATTTCATATCTGCTACATTCAATCTATCTCAGGTAGCCCTTGGAAAACTGTACATTCATAAGAGAATGGGAGTAAAAGGTAACATTTTAGTATTATAATAAGACAGTTTTGACTTTGTAGACCACATGTGTCAAACACAAGGCCCGCGGGCCAAATCCGTCCCGCCAGGCCTTGTAATGTGGCCCGCACCGTGCTGTCATCACTGCACTCTGCTGCGTTTCCATCACAATGACAGTTTATGACTGTTCAGTAAACCATTCGGCCCGAGATTTAGGCTGGATTTTAGATTTTGGCCCCTTCTCTGATTGAGTTCGACACCCCTATTGTAGACTTCCTGAAAGAGTCTTAGGGACACCCTTTGTCAATGGTTTAGGAATTGAGGAGACGACCTAACTCTGGTGAATACATAATGGGAAATGTATGTATGTGTGCGAAGGGCAGGGAATCAGGGGAAAGATTTTTAGCCCTGAGAGCCCGTAAGAAGTCTTTTCCTTACTTCCTGGTCTGGACATCCTCTATTGAGCAAGGCATATTTGGAGTTGTGATGGCATATCCTGAGACAATAAGAGAAAAGGTTTAAAACAAAACAACAACAACAACAACAACAAAAAACACCCAAAAAACTGGAAAGACAACCTAGAGGTCACTGAGTGGCTAAATTAACCTACTCTGGCTTTGCATACCTCCACATTTGAGCTACTAAATGGCCTATTGCTTAAGCCAGTTTGGGTCAGGTATTCAGTTACTTGCCGCCAAGAAGATCTTAACTGATATATAGAACAAGATAAGGAACTGGGCATCATCCTGAAAATAGTGTAAGTATACTTTAAGCACAGGGCTAAAGGAATTAGGCTTGATAGAACTTTGCCATGGTAATGAAAGATAAAGGGAAAAGGTGCTCTATGGAATATTTTTTAATGCTTTACTTTGGCTACTTTCCCCTCTTTTAGAAAAATTAAGGGAATGTGATATCAAGTGTTGTTTTCTAAAACGCATCAAAACTTCCACTTCTACTCCATGTACACCACAGTGATCAGAGTAATTATTTTAAAATATAATTTATATTATATCATTTCTTTGCTTTGGCTCCTGTCATTCATTGTTGAAGCCCAAATTATTCCATGTGCTACCGTGTTTCCCCGAAAATAAGACATCCTCCGAAGATAAGACCTAGCACATGGAAAGATAAGACATCCCCTGAAAATAAGATCTAGCACAACTTTGGGAGAAAAAAATTAATATAAGACACTGTCTTATTTTCGGGGAAATGGGGTACAAGATTCTTATGACCAGCTGCCTCTTGCACACCCCCTACTGCGGATGTGCCCGCAACCAATGTACATGCCCTTGACCGAAATCGAACCTGGGGACCTTTCAGTCCGTAGACCGATGCTCTGCCACTGAGCCAAACCGGTTTTGGCAAGAGATAGAGATTTTGTTTGCTATTAACCGATGTGTCTGGTGCTCAATAATTATTTAGTAAATAAATGAACATAATTCCAAGTAACTGTTTTTAATTTCAGAATAACCACCTTGGCAGGCTATTATATACTTATTACAATAATGTTGCTCAAAAGATAGCACATCAGTAGGCACTGAATTTGTTGAAAAGAATTCTTTCTTTGAGAATAAACCTAATTTCTGGAACAAACCAAAAGTTAAAGCCAAATCTGATGAACACATTCTGGAGCCACGTTGAAATGCCAAACCTGTGTTTGCCAACTAGGTTACTGCATTTGGGTGGACAGGGAAAGTTCAGAAAACAAGATGTGTTTGATTAAGACAAGCAATAAACTGACTCTGAACATAATTTCAGGGAGGAATTCTAAAAATGTGCACTGGTAACATGTTTCAGAAAAAGCATATATATTTTTTAAACTCTGTATGTTTGTGTGAATGAATCTCTTTCAATCTGTCTGCAGACTTCCATTTTAGCCCCCATTACATCAGAGTCTTTAAAAAAGTGAAAATCCACTCCTTTCCCCAAGCCTTCTGTATTTAAGGACCTTGAATGGCCTCTCGTTTTATCTGCATGAAATTGAACTTTCTCCCCAATCTAGCACACCAGGCTGGCTGGTTCCTGTCCCCATCTCAGAGCTCCCACTTTGGCTAGCCCCTATTTGTGTCCCCTGGCCCTGAAAGGCTTTTCCCACAGAGTTCAAGACTATGTTTCTTTTTCAACATTTGGATCCCACTTCCATATATGTAGCTGGCTTCCCAGGCTTGGTTTTGTTTGCTTGTTTGCTTGCTTATGGTCTATATCCTCCCACTAGATCAGTGGCTCTCAACCTTCCTAATGCCGCGACCCTTTAATACAGTTCCTCATGTTGTGGTGACCCCCAACCATAAAATTACTTCTGTTGCTACTTCATAACTGTAATTTTGCTACTGTTATGAATCGTAATGTAAATATCTGTGCTTTCCAATGGTCTTAGGCGACCCTGCTAGTGGTTTTCAACCTGTGGGTCGCTACCCACAGGTTGAGAAATGAAGTTATAGAGCCATAAGGTTGGGGGTCACCACAACATGAGGAACTGTATTAAAGAGTCGCGGCATTAGAAAGGTTGAGAGCCACTGCAATAGAACGTAAGCCCAGTGAAGACAGGGACTTTGCTGGTTGTTTTTGCCTCTGTAGCCCCAGCCCCTCTATGCCTGCACTGGAGGTTGGTAACCAAATCGTTAATAGTGAAATTGGGTGGGAGGTGGAAAGGAAAGAAAGA